ACTGAGGCTACTTAGTTGGGTCAACTATTAGAGGAAGCAGGGTAGACGTCTGGATTAAGGCAGTTAGAAGCTAGGCAAGTTTCCTCAACAGCAGCTTAAGCAATTTTATAGAATCCTATTAGGTCAAGGGCCTGTAGGCAGTTAGAGCTTAACCCTAGTAACGGAGAGCTGGACCAGTAGCCCTGTACAGGGTTATACCGGCGCGGATCAATAGCAGCTATTGTTTTAGAAGAGAACACTCCCTCCCTGGACCTCCAGTTGAAATGGGGTTTACTATGACTGGTAGCAACGCAGAGGCCCTTAGCATCCTAGATAGCAGCAGTGACGCTGTTGGAGATAACAGTGATGGGGGCCGAGCTGGGGCGCTTTTCTGTTTTGGGGATAGAAACCTTGATCTTGCCATGTCTGGAGTGAGGGGAACTATTTTAATCCCTGATTTCACCAAGCTTTCAAGATGGTTGGGAAGTCTCATAGGTGACGGTGGAGACGGGAACGATAGTGAAACGTCTCTGGAGGGTGTAGATGCAGCAGGTGGGTCCCAGGCCTGTGATGAGGGCCGTGGTGGTGGTGATAGAGGTGATAGAGGTGATAGAGGTGCTGCTATGGCTAAATCCTTTGGTGGGTCCTTGGGTTGCGAGGCAGGAGCTCTTCTCTTGCTCCTTGATGCCTCAGGGCGTGAAGGAGGTTATCTGTCAGTTGTCTCACTCCACCTCTGATCAGGTGTGGGCCTTTTCCTTTAAACAGATCGTCGTGTTGCCAGAACAGATTAAAGTTGTCAATGAAATGCAGTCCTCTGGACTCACAGACTTTGGACAGCCATGTATTCAACTGAACCAGCCGGCTGAGTTTGTTCTTCCTCCTATCGATGTTTGGGAGCGATCCTGTCATGCCCTCGACTTCTGGCGCTGGCTAGTGGCGGCTGGTTCCTGTTGTGCCTCCCTCTTTGGCTCTCTCTCTCTCTCTCAGGCACGGCTGGCGGCGGAGCGAGCAGACAAGTGTTTTATGTAACTAATCAGCTGATTGGTGCCACGGGATTGGTCCGTTTCTGCTGCAACATGTCAGCCGACCTGGATTTGAGCAAGCAGCCGGACCATGCTCAGACGCCAGACCGTCGTACCATGCAGTCAGTATTACCTGGGCATTCGTCTAGCTGTCAGCTTGTTGTGCTTGCTTTAACTCCTGACTCTTTTACTACCCAGCCGGATCTGCTACCGATCACCACCACCACCACCACCAACCATCTATCTTCATGGTTCATCTTCCACCATCTGCCGCATATCTACCACCTGACTCCGCACTACAACTGTCTGCTCTGGTTCCTGGTTCTGCCGTTCTCCGGTTCACTCCGCCGCCAGCTGCTGCTCCCTGCTCTCCGTTCGTATAGAGCCAGTTAAGCCGTCTCCGCTCTGTCTGCCGTTTTCTTAGTAACTGCATTTAGCGTGTAAATTTTGTCCGTCATAGATTAGTTGTTTTCCTCCAGTTTGCTCAGCTCTTTCTTATTGTCAGTCAGTGAGTATCCTGGTCGGTTATTCTATTTACTCTGCCTGTCTGAGCTTCTTTGGATAGTAGTTCTATTAGTTCGCTCAGCATTTTTAGTCTGAGCTTCCTTGGTTCTAATTTAGTTTAAGTTTCCTTATTGCATTCTCAGTATCACTTAGTTGAGCTCTTTGAGTTAGTCTTCGTTTTGGTTTTCTTCCTAGCCAGGTGGTAGCTGGTGTTGGTTGAGCTTTTTGAAATTCTATTTTTTGTATTCTCTTTATTGTATAATAAATTGTTAAACTGCCTTGGTCTACCGTGTTCTGCGCTTGAGTCTCCGCCCTGCCTGTAGCAGATCCACTAATGAATGTCAGTATTGCCACTTTATCAAGACTCTCAAATGGTTCATTAAAGTCTCCTTTTAAGATTTCAGACTCATCCTTTCTGATGTCCACTGCATCTACATGCACAATCAGCAGTTTCCCCCCTTGGTGTTTTACCAGTTCCTCAGGTAGTAGTTCTGTGAAGTCAGACTGTGGCACTTGGATAGCTGCAAGTCACTATTCTGTTCATGCTGATATTAGATATCCTCCATCTCCAAGCACAAGGATGTCTTTGACCTTGACACAGTTCTTCTGTCCATCTGCTGCTTTGGACTGATTCCAGGGTTTCTGTTTTGCACAGCGGTAAAAATCTGTTTGTTAACTTTATTCTGGGTGATGTGCATATCCTCCATTGATACCAGCATGTTGACTTTGCTTCGGCTTAGCACCAAGTCGATTATAAGCATCTTTACAGAGTCTTAGAAAAGACACAGACTTCTTACTAGGCCCTGACTTATCGGCTGGCTGATTAAATCGGCCGATTGTAGCCCTTTTCAAGATGCTCATCATCGGCTGGAGTTTTGCCAATTAAACGCTGGTATATTCACTTCTCATCAAACAGTAAATGCTGTTCAGTCCCACAGTCCCTTTCATACATTGATTTTGTAAAAAGACAAATGCTCTGCAGGGCAAAAGTGTACAAAATAGTTCAGCATCACCATGAAAAGCTCCGTTTTTGCTGCTGCTTGTTGTAAACAAGTTAAACTTTGACTGATGCATATTATGTTTAATGCTTTGTTGCATGTTTCTGTTCTTGAACTCCTCTCTGTTGTAAAGTTGGACAAAGTGTGAAACGTCCTGCCTGTGATTCATATCTTTGTTGTTGTAGCATTATGGGCTCAAAAAAGACATTTTATTCATTATATAGTTTTTAAATAAATCCGTGGATTAATCGGTTATCTGATTTTTTTATTTTTTTTTATTTTATTTTTTTGGCCAAATATCAGAATTAGCATCAGCCTCAAATCCATATTGGTCGGGCCCTACTTCTTACCACTGAATTCCACTGGGAGCGTTTCCTGAAGTCCTAATTCAGTTTCTAGAACAAAAATCCTTTCTTGTACATATTACAATCTGGACATGTTCAACATGAAGCTGCTCTGTTTCAGCGCCGATCACGGCCTGCAGCTCAGCTGATGAATTTAGTTACTGACAGAAACCAACTGACGGAGCTTCCAGAAACATGGTGCAGGTTTCACTTCATCCCTTCCATCTGTACATTTATATTAGCTTTACTCTCAGACAGTCCAAAGACACATTCACTCACTTTAACGTCGGATTCGTCTTCATCCGTTTTGCTGCAGTTCTCTCACACTCTCAGATGGCTGCTGTGACACAAAGAGCGGAAGTGAACATTAAAAAAAAGCAGGAAACAGCAGAACTTGTTCTTACAGCTGCAGGTAGACGCAGTCTGCAAACCTGAACTCAACCAGAAACTAACATTCACATGAATTACTGCCACTTATTAGCTCTGAGCTGAAAGTTAAAGTGAGAACATGAATGTTTACAGGAGCAGCTT